TTTGCATTGCATTACTGCAAAAAACGCATAAAAAAAGCGGAGGGTTATGGGAGGAATCAGAGTGATTTGGCCTGTATATTGCAGCTTCATGAAGTGGACGTGCTGTCGCCGGATGAAGTGCTGACAACTTATGAGAAAAGTGCCGATGTGATTGTTCTGCTCTACGATGTCACTGATCCTGATTCGTTCGCCTATTGCGCTTCCATTTATCTGGTGAGAGGGCATCTTTTCACAGCCATCAATTGTATAATCCAGCAGCTTCCTGGTGCTCATTTTCCATTAGGGCGATATTCGATTTTGGTCCTGCAAATCGCAGTGCAAAAATCGAGTTGTGGTGGTTTTCCTTTGTAGCACTTGGCGCATTAAAAACCATCCTTATTTTATTGCCCTTCATTTTTGTTAGCAGCATCTCCCAGACCAAACGCACGGTAATTTTTCGGGGACTAAATATTTTGACACAAAAGAGATCTACATTCACAGAAATTAAACTGTAAAAAGTTTCTTCGAAATTGGCCCTAGCAGTAGAAATTCTAGTCAAATAGACCCGAAAGCTTTCACATACCTTCCAATTCTTGTTTGTTGTTTTTGGCAGGCACAATCACTCATGCTCCATTCATTATCGTTCCAGAAATATTTCTATCGTACAAAGGTACCTTGTGTAATTGTGGCCACAAAATCGGAGTCTTTCGAAGTTGAGCAAAAATATGAGCAGCAGCCGAGCGAATTCTGTCGATCTCATTCGCTACCTCAACCAGTCCATTTTCGTCTCAGTGATATCGGAAAAGCAGATAATCCCGTTTTCTTGCAGCTTGCAACAATGGCTGTTTATCCGTATGTCTTCACTGTTTGCGACTTTTCAGAATGATTTCCGTTTTTGAAAATGCTGAGTTTTGAAGCTCTTCGTTAGTTTTCAGTGTGGATCTCTGCAGCCTCGATCCTTCCCCTCCCCCCTCCCCTTTGTTAGAACCTGAAAATAAATACCTGTTTTAGTCTTGGCACGTCGGTCAGCCATCATTTAATTGATATAGCAGCCAAATTCTCCACGATCCCGAAGTTGCCTCACTGAATGATTGACTTGTTTGGTGATCCTGGTTCACCCTTTACGCTTCCTCTGAGGCTTATATGTTCTCTTTTTACTTTTCAGTAGTCCTTCTAATCTCCTCCAAATGGCTATTGCTTGTAGAAAAAGTATGCCTGTAGTTCATGTTAGGAGCACTGAATTCTCAGCATAAAAATACATGGAGCCACACAGAAGGCGCATTCTGTTTGCCATAATTTTGGAGAATATAAAAGAAATTTAGAATCAAAGCGCAGTAAATTATGCGTTTTTTTTCTTATGAACTGAGACTTTTTACACCTCACATAATGTGTGCTATTTTTTCAGACATCTGAAACGTGTGTACTATCTTCAGGACTCGCACTTCTGGTCCAAAGTCACTGTCGGTGCTGCGGTTGCAGCGTTGACAGGATTTCTGCTCTACAAGCGATTGTGACGGGGGGCCGCCGCTGTTACATAATTGTTGTAAATGAATACTAGGCTGCGCAAAAGTTGTTTTTTTTTTTTGGTAGTTGCGCGAATTTGACACAAATTTGATATTTTGATGCAATTTTTTATCGGTAATCCCAAAAATTCAGCACCCATGCTATTCTCAAAGCTTTTTCGCATGAAAGCGCGTGGGCAGGAATCAGATAGCACCAGTTATCGGTAGCGCTAAGTTTGGGTATGTAAATAGTTTTAAATGGCTGTTAAATAAAGGCACACTTTTAAATTTTAAGTATAAATTCAAATAACGCTATTTCGGGAGTAACTGGACGCATTTTCAAGACCAGATGCGGCAGCTGGTTGTGTTAGTTGTACTTTTAGCGTGTAACTGACCGATTATTACGTGTAACTGACCGATCTGATCTTGAAATACACTGTAACTGCATTTGCAACGGGGGGAACAATGATCTGAAATTAGCTTTTCACATAGTCCCACGCAAAATGCCATTTTCAGCACTGAGGAATACCGTAGGAATTAGAAAAAGTTCCTGTATGACCTAATTTGCCCCGGTTAAAATTGCAGGCGCATTAATTTGAATCAAATTTACTGTTTCGTTAGGGCAAAATGATTATTTTAGAAGTTTTCTGATGCGGATTTGCGCCACGTGATGATCGAATTCTTCGAAAACCCAGCCGTGCAAGTCGACCACATCTCATGGATAGGCTATTTTTTTCTCCGGATTGGGTTGCCTGGCAAAACCTGTGCCCTGGGAAATCCTAGATCACTTCTAAGATTATACCCATTTTGATGTATTCCTCAAAATTCCGTGGTAAAACTGGCAGTAAAAAACGAACTCCTTTTAACTGGAAACCTAGCGCCCAGTTAGCGACGTCCATCATTGCTGGAGCTGTATTTTGAGCGCAGTAAAAACTAGTTTCAGATCATTGTTCCTGGTACAAAATAACTCGCATGTCATCGGCGACCGCGACGGCACCTGCCCTCTGATGGGTCATCTTTAAGCGAGTTAGATCACATCCAATTCTTTAATGCAGCATTATAATGAATTTTTGTTCAGACTGGTGCTTCTTCTGAGATTTTACTGTTTGCTGGCGCAAATGAGCAAACTCATTTTAGTTGAAAAATTCTTCAAGTTTAATGCTTTTTTCCTCACTTTCGGAGCGATGTTCTAGACGAACTTATGTGAAACCCATTTCTTATTGTCCTCGATCCACTGAATCGGATATCATCTCACATTTAGTTACACATCCACGTATATTTGACATCCTGGTTGCCACGTTGTAGACCCTCGAAAATGTTAACTCCAGAACTTTCGTTACTGAATTGTTTTTATTTGTGTGTGGTATCCTGAAAATTTGGTAACGTGAGGTTGTTTATAATAGCCAGTACCTCTGGCCGCTGAGCAGGTGCGATTTTGCCAATTTCAGCCTGGCAAATCATTGTGTCAGTGATCTCGCTGACGCACAATCATCTGTGCAACCGAAATTTTTGTTGAATGAATTGACATAACACATATTTGTTGTTTTTGAGAATTATGGAATAATTGGGAGGAATCAGTATCACAACACATTTTTAGATCAAATCACTGGTCGTTGTTATCCTGGGCAAAAGTACCACCATCGAGGAAAAACATTTTTCATTTTCAAGTTGCTGCTGATGCTTTTTACCTTTACTTATTCCAATTTAATTGGCTGATTTGTGTGTGCCAAAATCATACCTGGAGGAATGATACCATCCGACTTTCCGGTTTTTTTAGCACCGATTTGACCGCATCTGAACAACAAAAGTCCCTCCACCCCCTTAGTGAGCTTATTAGTGAATGGTTTTGTCTTGATCAGGAGCAACACAGCAAGGCTGACATGAATAGCCAGCATTTCGCCAGACACTATTTTTTTTTTACTGAGATGTGCTAATCGTGCTATACTCATAGGCGGATTTAGAGGGATAGTGCGGAGGGGGAGCGAAGGGTCACCAGTGCTGCAAAAGCTCGGGCCTGAAGTTAAAACTAAATTAAACTAAGACCTAAAGCAATTCTAACTAAAGTAACTTCAGGTAGCAGTGTGTTACAACTCTATTCCTAGTTTTTGCATAGTTCCAAGGTAGGAGAGGACTCTCCTCCCCCTCCCCGCTCCGGGAGTCTGTCGCGGATCCGCCTATGGCTGTACTCGTTGCATTGTTCGGAATTGCTCTGCTCGGTGCTAGGTCACTTGAATTCTTCAATGTGTCTTCTAATACCGGTGCTTCACTAATTTTACTACAATTCTTCATAATTTACACTTCAACTGTTCTTCATCAATCATACCAGACCAACAATTTATGCATGAAATTTCCTGGCTACACGCTTGCTTCAGTGTGTCCAGTATCACTGTCGCCGTTTGTTTCAGCATGTCCAGTAGTGCAATGATAGAATTTCATTCCAAATATTTCGATCATTAGTTTCCTGGCATTCTAAGTGCACATGATTCTGCGCAATGCTTGCTCTCGATCATTGGCTTGTTGATTCTGGTCATGTCTTTCACTGTGGCCAAGGCAGTGTGGACCGGCGATAGCCGCATTTCTGCAAATTGATCATTATTTATGGACAACTGCTGGTGCATCGTGTTGTTTTCCGTTTATTTTCCATTCATAATGCGTGATCTGTAACATTGAAAAAAGACGGGACATTACTTTGTTTTTTTTATTTTTTTTTTCTCCCACTGCTAGCCTTAACATTGCCACAGTTGTTGTTATTGTTGTTTTTGATGTCCTCTGGATAATAGTGCGTGTTGGATTGTGTTTTCCCGGGACTTGCTGTTGGAATTGGGGAGGTGTTTTTGGGTGGACTTACATCCGCGCTGGATCTCGCCGCTGATGTTTCTCATCTCTGGACATCATTGCATGATGAGTGCTGTCATTTGCTCTGTATAATAACACGTGATTCCTGTGAATAAACTGTTTGTTTATGAGACTGATTACAGTTAAGCCGAATTTTCGGCTTTACAGATAGTTCTGTAGTATTTTTTTTTTTTTTTAACAAATTCAGTTTTGTTCTCTTATCCAGAAAATTTGAAGCAGCTTAATGTGGTAGGGGGGTTGGAGGGTAGCTGTCAGAACATCGTTCACCTGGTTGTATTTTGCTACTACTACAAAAAACCGGTCCCTGGCGGTGCTGGGCTTGATGTAATGACAAATATCATTTTTCGCGAACAAAAGAAAAAAACGATAGAGAAAATCGCTTTGTGATTCGTTTTCATGGTAAGCTAGTGTGGGCGCTACGTATGTCACGGAGTCGGAACCACCCGTCTTTCAGCTTTTGAATAGTTTCGGATAGGGGCTTAAACTGCCAGGAACCTTGCAAGCGAACTACTAATGATTACTTTGGGCAGTGGAGAATGTTTTTACCTCTCACCGAATGGTATGTGGACGGGATGAGGGCATAGCGCAGTGTAAACAATGATAGCTTAATATCAAGAAGGCATATAGCAACCTTAAGAGTTTGTGGATTAGACTTGTGTGCGTGCCCTGTATATATATATATATATGTATGTGTATATATATGTATGTATATACATATATTAGTTAACGTCT